ATACCATTTCTAACTTTTTATTTAACAACACTACACCTGTCCTATTGCCCGTGAATGAACTCATATGATGGGTCGTCTTATAAGCACGTTAAAACATGAGCAGTCGATGTTTATCTTATATACAAACTCTCGCCATTGTCCCCAATTTTAATAATATATTCTAATGTGACTCGCTTGAACATTATGTAGTAGGTCAAATGTAAAACAACGGTAAATCCGAAAATAATAAAAAAAAATTATTTTCGGAGTTACCGTTGTTCTATATTATATTAAAATACTCAGTGGTTCTCGTAATAGTAGGTCTCATTTTGTTTCCGGTTTGTTCCTAGCAACATCAAATGTTCCTAGCAACAGTCAACCAGCATCAGTGGATAATATTTCGGCCGTTTCACTCCCCTCTTTATTTTTTATTTTTTCTCCGCCTTATTTTAAAGTTCGGATCTTTCTCGGTCGCCCTTCGGAGTATCATCGTGTAACATAAATTAATGTCACAGATAACATAAATTATCGCGCCTGCGATAAGCTAATAATATATACCTCTTTCAACATTCAAAATGGCGCCCGATGAAAACATTTCAGATATTATTTCAGACAAAATTTGTTCAAAAACCAACAAGCCAAACCAAGGCCAGGTTACTTAGCTAACCGAGAAAATCACCGCATGGTACCGAATGTACACCAAAATCCAAAATGGCCACACGCGACGAAGCCATGAATATGGATGAGGATATGAATATTGACGTCGATGATGTGCAAACACAAAGTAGCGAGGTGAGTAAAATTAGAAATAGCAATACGCTGCATAAATTTTTATTTTATTTACCTTTTATATGTCTGTATTTATATTACGTTAATAAGGAGTGTGGCAAATTTACTAAATAGCGAATGACCGAATGCGAGTATATTATAAATTATAATGAACTGTCTGTGCCATTAACAAGCTTTCTTTCGTAGGGCCGCAACTACCGACGTTTCGAGGGAAAGCCCTTTGTTTGGAGTTACTAGCGTCTGGGGAATATATTATAGAAACGCTACTGAATAGACGTTAAGTCTATAACTATAAACAGAATTAAAACACGTGTTCACCAACATTTTTATTCGTTTCTACCACTTGAAATTTACCAGTGTATTTATTATAACTTATTCAAAAAATTTGATGTTGATTGTTGGGCTGTTGGAGTTCTGCTTGTGACTTCACTCACAATTCACAAACTACTAAATTAAAATTGTAGGACAAATTCTGGACAAATACTTTATAGAAAAATACATGTCTGGACAATACATGTCTGACACTGGATCCCAATATGTAAATGTTATTTGTCTGATACAATCAGCGGCATAGCCAAGACGTTATTTCATGGGGCGGGGAGGGGTGAAGCATGCCAAAGCTGATGGCATTTCAAGTCATGTTGGAAGTGGTTAAGGAAATTCTAACAAAAACCTTTCCCCAGACATGTCAGTGTAAGGAAGTAATATTTTGTTTATAATTTAGTAAGAACAAATCATTGTTCCTACTACTGTTTATGCTATAGAAAATATCTGGGTGCCAGCTTCTGTTAGGAACTATTTGCAGGGCATGTGAAATTGATAACCTGATCATATAAAACAATATGAAAATTATTTGAGATGTTCCTCCCCACCCCCCCCCCCACCCCAGAAAAAAAAATTTAGGTGCCCTTTTTCATTCGAAAAGAGCCCCTCAAAGCCTGGGCCCCCTAACTTTTAGATTTGTTTTACGCCCCTGGGCATGTGTGGAAAGGACTGGTGGATTAGTTTCAAATTTGTTTGGGTCGTTCCAGAAAAGATCCATACTCCCCCCACGGAGGAAATTTCTGCCGTCCAGAGGGAGAGGGAAGAAAAAATTGTTTCTGATAATAGTAAATGTATTAGGACATCCGAAGGGGGTAGGGGGATTAACTTCCTATTTCCTCCGTGGGGGTGGTATGGATGTTTTCTGGAATGACCCTTTGAACAATGATATTGTCTGTAAGCCACATTGTAACATTTTGGTGTGTAAATAAATCTGATCAAAAACTTGGAAAGTAATTATTCTGTTACTAATAAAGTGTATGTTCGCGCCCATATTTTTTGCATGTTTCCAATTTTAATTAATTGCCAATCAAATTTTTATACTAATTGTGACTAAGAAACAGATTCACTGGGCCAAATAAAAAAATATGTGGGTTTCCGGTTTCCCGACCCTACCTAGCTTTTGGACGTCGAAATCCCGACCCTAAACTTTTTTATTGGATCACGCTTGTAAGTGTTTCCACTTAGAGCAAAACGTTTGTCGAAAATGAAAATTTGAGGCAATATTAGGAAATTTATGTTTGGATGTGGAAGCACTGACTAAACAAAATGGCGTTCGGTTGTTAGGAAAATTAAGAAAAAAGTTTAAAAAAAAAAGTTAAAACCGACCTACCCTACCTAAGTTTTTACAAGAGGAAACCGGAAACCCTCATATTTTTTTTTGGCCCTGTTTAAAATTACAACTGTTAAAATGCTAAAAGAGGTGATCAAGGTGACGAAGCTCTAGGAAGATATATATTATGTGACTGGTTGATTATGACAATGACAAAAGACGTAATTGGCTTACATAAACAAAAGGAATATTGTTCTTGCTTCGTTTGTCATTGTCATAATCAACCAATCACAGAACATCTTCCTACATTACTGCATAAAAGTGGAATACAAGCGTGAAAGGCTGCCGGGAATGGCTAAAACAATTATTAATTTTCTAGCTGTATAATTAATAAAAAAGCTGTATAACCAAATTTATAAAGAAGCTAATTTATAAAAAAGCTAATTTAATATTAAAAATCTAATTTATAAAAAAGCTGTATAACCAAAATTAACCGATTTTATGTCGTTCATGAGCCGAACGAAAATTTTTGAAAATATGGAGTCTCTATAACTTCGGATATGGCCTTTACAGAGTCTTTAATACTGCGAAAAGGGCACTTTCTTTCCAGCAAAAGAGGGCATTCAGTCAAGAAATTCTTTTTTCGTTCTTTATATGGCCACTTTAGCCCAGAAAAACGGCACTTTTCACTTTCCGCGGCCCCTGCACGATACGAATATTCACGCCGTCGCACACTTCAGTTGTTAATGCACAAATATCTCTATAACGTTTTTGTTTGATTATGGACTCCAGGCCTTGTATCTATAAAAACTAGAGAAAAATAAAAAGGCCTAATATGTGAACCATATCACCTAGAAGATGGAATGATTGAAATAACCTGCCGCATCTAAGGCCAAATAAAAAAAATACTTGGTTAGCGTCACACTCTCACAAATGTTCAGAGGCGGGAGGGCGTTTTTTAAAATTTTTACTCGTTTTTTAACAGTATTTTTGGGGGAGATGGGGGCAATTTTTCCGCCATATCGGTGATATTTTTGTGCTGATAATACCCAAGCCCATGCGCTACTATCGATCAGTATATAGCGCGAAAAAATGAGAATAAATTCAAATATTAAACTGTTTTAAACTGTAAAGCGAAGAGATTTACATAACAAAAAAAATGCGGGCGTTGACGCTAACCAAGTATTTTTTTTCATTTGGCCTAATACTATTTGTGCGGGGTTGGCGGGGGAGGGGGGGGAGGAGGATGATTCTCGTAAACGTGGTAGAAACAAAACTTTCTAATTGTATACAATTTGAGTAATATTATTAATTAATAATATTTTATAATAATTATTTTTAGTCTCTAAGAAACACGCTTTAACAATCCGTACGGTAACTATTGCTGAGCTGGATCGAAATGTAAGGTCTGCAAAGTTTGTGTTGAGAAAACTATATGCTACCAGCCAAACCGTCTATCCGCTGATCGTTCCGTCCGCAGAAACCTCTCGCCAAATCCTACTGACACATGGCACTCTCAAAGCTCTACAAACGGTTATATCTAGGTTGCAGGGCCGCAACTAGACACGATGATTCGGGGGGGATGCATATTCATGTATTCATGTTCTGCCCTACTGATGTCTTTTGAAAGCGATTGTTTTTACGGTAAGTGAACATGAATATATCATATGCATCCCTCCCCCCAATTATCGCGTCTAGTTATATGGCCCTGCTATAGTTGTCGACACTCTACTGTAATTGTATACCAAGTATGTTGAAGGAAACATCGAAGAAAAATGGGAGGAATTTAAACATCAAAGAAAAAAGGATGGACGAGAAGATGTGTATATAATAAATAAATAAATACTTAATTTAACGCACACAATTTACGTACTAATTTAAGCACACAATATAAATTATCACCAGAGTTCACCAATCACGACTCTGATTGGTAAACTTTTCCACTAACTAGCCATTAAATATTAACGGACCATTAAATATTTGAGGGGAGGGGGGTTGGGTTGGGCAAATACCAAAAAAAAAAAATAGTGCACAGAAAAAATTCATGGAAAAATTCTCTTGCACAACAAAGCTATTGAGCAAAAAATCGAGCAAGTTGAGAGAGCGGTAGAGCTAAATTTTAAAAACGTAACACAAGAGGATTTAAAACATTGAAATGGTCGTAAAATATTCAAAATATTCTCAACTTGGCACACGTGAAAAATGGCAGATAGAACGAAGATTTCTATTGGTACAATTTCCGAAAATTCTGATGACCTTTTCGATCCCCCCCCCGGCCCCCCGTCGCCAAACTTCCGGAAAAATGTTTCAGGTCATCCATGAAAAAATATCTTGCAAAGAAATGTGCTAGAAAAAAATAATCTTGCCAACTGTTGAGGTATGAAAAAAAAATCATGCACAAAAAAATTGCTAGCCCCCCAGGCCCCGCTCAAATATTTAATGGTCCGTCTCTTAGTCAACTATTATGCTCCGAAACATTGTAATTTATTAATAGAATATTTACTTTTTATACCAGTGGTCTGATTTATTCATATACACTTAAATGTTACAATCAAGTTCCTCATCCTTACTGTCAGTATGATTGAAAAGTGGGTTTTGGGGAGGTAAGTCCTTTAAAAAAATAAGGTAGTAAGCCTAAGTAAAGCATGTTTGGCAAATTCCGAATTATTTTTATAAGGACAAAGGTACAACAGTCAACACCATCTTTCGTACAGTAGCTATGTATATTGATGTCTAGTGCTAAATTTGTATTTGGATACAGAATGAGAATGATACGGTGGAGCAGCCGGCACGGAAAAGGTACAAAACCGCCTTTAAACAGTCCGCATCAGATCGCCGTCTATATGACCGGAAAAATCTGACAGCATTGGATAGAAAGGTATATAATTTGATATGTTTTTAAACTATATAAAGCCCGGTCAGTGGAATATTTAGTTGTCAAAAATGTATTATATAGTTGAACGAATGGTATAAATTAACCAAATGCCCTACAGTAGCGTTAACTCTGGTTGGTGGACATATCCAATATTCTGGTATGTGATAAAAGTTTGAATTAGCAAGAAATTTTCATTATACATATATTTTCATTATACATATATTGTAAATTTTGTTTGGTTAAGGAATACATTTTTTGAATTTTAGGTCCTCCACAATTTAGACCATTTGCATCTGATGACGCTGTGCAAAATGTATTTAGCTCTATCGTACTTAATCAGTCTAATAATGACGTTTCAGGTACTGAATATCTGATCTTCCTAAGGTAACATTTACGCGCAGCAAAGATAAGTATTTATGAGATACTGTATACCTTTTATGACTCATAATACAATTCAATTGCAATTTGAAAATATTCTCGTTTTTTGTGCACGAATATATTTCTCTTTTAATTCTAACTGTCACCCACCCTTGCCCTATCATGCGCGAAAAAGGACGATTTAACCATAATCTCATTCTCAAATCTTATCTTTATTTTATATTATCCCAGATTTTTAAAAATATTTAATTCTAAAGAGCATATTGTTTACCGTATAGTAACATTTTATGTACAGTAGTAACTAGTGAATAATAATTTCTAGTGATTTTTTTTAAGGGACTACGAGCGGAGATTTTTCTATGATTCAGCTACCTGATGATTGGAGAATATTTAATGTTTTTTCTAAACGTAAACTAGTTATTGCGTTAGTGACAAACAATGGTACGTTTTATTCTCTTGGGCCTGTGTGTCAACAAATTACACGTACATGACATGTATGATTTCAGTTATTTAGTTGCGATTTTTAGTTAATTTTTCTCCAAATGGTAGGATAAGATTATTTTTTCAACTTTTAGTTAAATACGATTTCTATTGAAGGTACGAGAAACGCTAATTGGCGAACAAGGACTTGCCCTGTTTGGTGGCCCGAAAGTATTCCGTTCGGTGACCCAAACAACACGAAACCTCGACTTTCAGCCGAGCATTTGCACGCAATAATAGAAGGATACAGCTCGTTTATGGTGTCCAATGGTCATAATGATGCGGGTGTTGGTAATAGTGGCTTTGGTGTTAGTGGTGGTGACGATGGTGTTGGCCGTGGTAATGATAGTGTAGGAGGTGTAAGAGACGATGCTGGCGATGATGATGTTGGTGTTGATGGTGGTAATGCGGATGGTTTTGGTGCTAATGACGGTGTTGATGGTGGTGATAATGGTGATGGTGGTGGTAATGCGGATGGTTTTGGTGCTAATGACGGTGTTGATGGTGGCGATAATGGTGATGGTGGTGGTAATGCGGATGGTTTTGGTGCTAATGACGGTGTTGATGGTGGCGATAATGGTGTTGTTGATGGTGGTGATGCGGATGGTGGTGGTGCGGATGGTGGAAGTGCGAAAGGTGTTTATTGTGATTGTGATAATAGTGCTGATGGTGGTGATAACAGTGTTGGTAGTGGTGGTGATGATGGTGTCGGTGGTGGTGATGATGGCGCTGCTGGTGATTTAGGTGAGACGTCTACATGTGGTGTGGAAATGAGGAACGTCTTGCGTGTAAGTTATATACTGCTCTACTGTAATTGCTCGTATTTTGTTCTATTTTGTTTTGACAGTGAAAAATGTATCATGTGTCCTAAAGCAGTGCTGTGGGTATACATATTTTCTCCTAGAGCGGGATATTTATTAATGAGTATTTAATTTTAATTCTATCTACAAAATGCTACAATTAGTTAAATTGGGTGAACTACCCAAAATCGTGATAATTGCCAATGCATGATGTCACTCTTTCTTAAAGAGTTGCACAATTTATATGGAGAAAGATCAAAGGAGGATCCTTGGTTTCCTAAAAGGCGTAAACAATTGGGCAGAGTTTGTGTCCTGTATAGAGATAGTGAAAGAGAAGGGGCCATTGGTACCATCATACGAGAAGCCAGTCGAAGTACACACAGACTTGTGATGTTGAGAAAAGGTGCGATCCTATTCATATGATCATAATGAAGTATCGTCAATATATTACATAAGTACCACCGTACGTTGTTTCACGAAATCCTATAAAGAGTTCTCAATATCATATATATATAGATAGAGCAAACAGTAAATTAAAGCTCACATTCAAAACGCAAGCGCATTTCTCCTTTACTGTATTGTCTGTTTCTTGTTTATTGCATTGTCTTTTACCATAGTGTGCGTTGTGATGTCCCAAAAGGAATTTTAAAAGAAGGTTTGGAACCAGTAAAGGTTACAGGAGATGGGGAATTGCCTGTTTCGATCAATTTCGAAAGTGATAACTGGAAGTGAGGATGACCACCTTCTATTTAAACTTGCTGTGGTTATTCATGGTTGTTCGAACGAGCAGTATTATCAAAAGAATATTCACGTATGTAACAATAGTACTAAAATGGATCAAAGATGGCATGATGCGCTATTAGTATATCCACTGGTAGACTGGTAGTATTGGTTTGTGTCTTAATTCTAATTTTAATTTTTTTAATAATGTATTGTCTACCGCACATATATTTTTACCGTTTTCAAAATAGTATTTGATTAACGATGACCTCGACCTGTTCCTCCATACAATAACGGAAGATGAAATATTGGCGACCATGGGTGAAGACTTGTCTGAAGAGGATAAGTTTATCGCATCACAAGAGGTGATGCGAACCGTTATCGACGGTCGTTACTCGGGTGCGTGTTACCTAAATGATTGGTGTGTAGTAATTAAGTGGGAGATTATCATTCTAACTTGCAGCTGAGAGCTACTCTAGTTCGATATGAGGATCACCCACAATCTCGGAGGTGAAAGGCGCTTGCTCTGACCTCCACCTAAGCCCCATATTAACTTAAAAATTCGTTTTCAATAGAGTTTATAAGTTTAGACTCTATTGTCTAATTTGTCTTGAAGTGAAATATAAAATGTCTTGAAACTAATTTAAATTGGTTAGCTTAGACTTTTTATATAACTATATTTGTTTCTACATACTTTTGATTTGTTTTAGACGACATGTTAAGATTATCACATGCATGTCCTTTATTAGGATATCTACAAGTTCTTATAATGGCAGATACATTGCAGCGGAGAATCACACAACATTGTAATGCACCTGGAATGGATTTGTACAATACTGAGGTGATACCATTACATATTCCGCCAAATATCTCCCCAATTCATATCCTCTGGTGTTCCTTGAGTGGAGGTGGCATACGAAACCACATCGTCCCACTACAAAAATGCAGAGATGAAAATGGTAATACTTAGTTTAATTTACAGTATTACTTTATCCAATAGTAATATTAATTAAATTAATAGTTTAGTCATGTAGAGAGTCGCAGAAACACGCATGAATGTTCGTTCGTTAGTTTAAAGACATTGATAAAAGCCTATAATTATGAATTATTTTTATTCCTGTACCAAAATCAAATAATACAATGTTTTAACAAGAATCGATCTGATTAAAATTTATATATTATTACGCTTATTCCTTCTGTATAAATTCCGGTTATTATTTCGGTGTACCCAAAATCTTTCAATATATAAACCGTTGGATCATGTAAATTTTCCAATCATATTATAGCATGTGTTATATTTAACAAATATAAAACATTTTCCGTGTTGATGTCAGACACGGGTCAGCTACGGAGCTGGGGGGGGGGGGCTGAGGGGGGGGGAGTGCCCCTTCACTCGGAAATAAAATTGAAATTATGCCCCCTTATTCCACATTTCTTGCCATGTAAAAAATAGACAACGCGGCTGTAGAAGATTAATACTTGAGGCTCATAGTCATACTCAATTTTTGTATGAAAATAGATTGCTTGTGGCTTAAAATAAATAACCTCATTGTTAGAAGCTAGGCTAGATAGCAGACGGCTGAACTAACCCTATACAGAAACTTTAAAGACTCACAAAATTGAGCACAAGTATAATACTTTTACAGTGTAGAAGAACGTTCAGTTCGATCCCAATTTTTCTGAACTGGAAAGGAAAACTAGCTGCTAGCACGACAGTCAAAATCATCCCAACGCCTCTGTTACATTCTTTCTGCAGTGCCTCCTCAGAAATTGAGAGCCAGCTACTGGCTTGGTTGATGTACTATATTTAACTGAAACGAGCATGCAGGAGTGCTTTTATCAGATATAAAACACGAGAGCGCAACTCAAGTGTTTTATATCTGATAAAGCACGACCCATTTGACGAGTTCATTGGCGAAGAAATTTTTAAAATAAATGTTGTTTAAGCTAAAGTTTGTCTGAATTAACATATTTTGTCATTTCCTCATGAATAATTAATGAGACTTTTTTCGCTGTGGTGATATAACTGTATATCAATACGGAAAAAAGTTTTATGTACTAAAAACTCGAGCCGAATTAGGCGAGAGTTAATTTGTATATCAGATAAAGATCGGATGCAAATGTTTTATCCTCTTTATAAAACGACCCATCTTATGAGTTCATTGGCGAAGTAATTATGTAAATCAGGACTCAATCTTTATGCGATTTACAAACATTGATTAAACATTCATTTCTTTTGAATTTTCTTCATGAATTATTAATGAGTTTTATAAATATTTTTTTAATATAGCACGAAGAAATATGTGGAAAAAATTTTCCATGTTGACATTGAGTTATATCAATACGGCTATATTAACCAATCATTGTTCAGACGTTACGTACAAATGCTATAATGTTATAATAAATACATTATAGTATATTATGTATTATACAGACGCTAACATTTGCAGAATCTGATGTGATTAATTTTATAAATGTCGATGTTGACGAATGACGTATTACATTTTTAGCATTTAACACTTTTTCCAAGTCATTTGATGGTGTTTGCGGACCCTTCTGCCAGTATGAAATAGACTTGGAAAGTGGAAAGCAATCGCGTTGGGTTGCATGTGATCGCTGCCTGTTGTGGTTTCATCATCGCTGCGTTTTCTTCCGACCACGAAGACTGGGTAAATCATGGTATTGTGGGTGCAGTACACCTGATGATGAGATATCAAGTTGGTAAGTTTTATGAACGCACGACCGTATAATTACTCATGCATAATTACTAAAATATTTTCTACATGTTAAATTCAGAAATAAAGGTTAAAAAATTTGGTTCAAATGTGATATATTTCTGGAACTTGATACTAAAACATTTTGAATAATCAATTTTAACACATGCATGAAAAAGGCTAAGGAGTAAGGGTCTTTACAATGGAAACTTCGAAATATTTTCCATATTTTCCAATATACTTGCAGCATCCTTCAACCCACTCCATATATTTATTTATTTTATTTTTCTGAAATCCACATTCTAACATTTAATATGTCTTTGTAACGTTTTTGTATAGTCAGATAAATTTAACTCCTGATGGTTTGGAAGCGTTTTGTAAAGATAGATTACAGGTAACTTGCACGATTTGCCATTAAGAATATATTTTTATGAAACATTTGTTAAATACGTTTATGTGTATTTGACATGCCAAAAAGCTAAGTTTTTTAAAAAGTCGTCGTTTCGATTATCTCAAGAGAGGTTCACCCAATTCGTTGAGGCGTGCTGCTGGATTGGTAATGGACAACGACGACACAGTTAGTTTTCAATGTCTAATGTTAATTTATCTTAAGCAGGCTCCCTAAATTTACTTTATGGCTCATTTAGGCTCTTTTGAAACGTCCTAAATAACACACTGCACTACAAAATAAATTTTGCATACACCTTATGCAAAATGTACCGTTAATATCCCAAACATCATCTCGTAAACCTAGATTGAAATCTTACTGTTTAAACTCCTGGATCAAGTGATGGAAAGGAGCGATTGTTGGCCTCCTGACGTCGAACGATCGAGAGGAAATATTGTATCCTTCAAGTTGGATATATTGACAACAGAAGTAAGTTAAAAACCTCAAATTGTCCCTGACCAATGTAGATGGAGCCGCGTACTACTCGCTTCCATGTAGCCTATACATTGTCAGAGACAAGCGGATACAGCCGTTAGTGCGGTCTACTGAACTTGATTTACAAGACCGAACTATACACTATATATTACTTTATCGTTCCTCTGCATGCTCATATATACGGTCCTATTCGATAAGAATAATGTCTTTAATTTAGATTGCCATATGGATGATGTCTTCAACTTCAAACGTCAGTCGATTCCGGAGTGAAGAAGTCCACGATACCTTTAACCCGAACAGTGAGCACTGTAGTTATTAAATCAATATTTCCATCCACACATTAATTGATTCAATTTCCATGTAATAGGCTATCGCTAAAAGTGATTTTATTCAAGTCCGTTTTGATCATGAGCATGTTTTGTGAAGTTTTGTGTACATTTTTGTTTGAAACAATAGATAATTAAATTATAATTAAAATTCCGAATTGTGGGCTCACAATTTAGCTCATTACTTACATGGGCGTACCGGAAGGAAAAATTTAGGGGGGCGGCAAGAAATTTGCCCGATGAGTGTACCATTTTAGGGGTCAAAAATTTTTTCCGGACATACCATAATTGTCCGGAACCTGCAAAATTTTGGGAAATTTCACAAAATTTTCCGCAAAATTTACAGAATTTGTCCCATTTATTTTTTTAATTAACCAACATTGCCCGATTGTCTAGCGAATATTGGCCCGACTTCCCAAAAAACTGGGGGGGGGGGCTACCGCCCCCCCCCCCGCCCGGTACGCCTATGATTACTTATCATAATATATCACGCAAGGAAGAATTGAACTATTATAAGCAATAATTTAGGGCCCAATATTTGAATTTTGGGATAGGTAATAGGACCTCTACATGCGTCTTGGACCTGTGGTTTGCTTATATTTTATAATCATTATTCATCCAATGGATTTCTTATATTTTCAACGGGGTCTTGAAATAGACCATCCCGTGAAATATTGTGTAAAAGGTGCACGCGTGTAATGCGTGCGTTGTTTTGTGTATCTTTATGTAAATCCATTGTAGAAATATCGTAATTGAAGTTGGCGTGTATTGTATGTAAAGTTATTACTTGGTAATTGATAGGTGTGATTTGATGATGCACATGAATTTATCACAGGGCCGGATTTGACCATACTGCGATATTGCAAATTAGGAATTGGTAATAGGGCTTGCATATTTTAATTTTGGAATAGGTAATAAGACCTCTACATGTGTCTTGGACCTGTGGTTTACTTATATTCATTTCACATATATATACACATATACACACATATACACACACATACACACACACATACACACATACACACATATACACACATATTTATCTAATGGATTTCTTATATTTTCAACTGGGCCTTGAAAGTAGACCATGCCGTGAGACCCCGTATAAGAGGTGCACGTGTATAACAGTGCGTTGCATATCCTTATATGTGAATCCATTGTAGAAATATCGTAATTGACGTTGGCATTTAATGTATGTAAAGTTATTACTTAGTAATTGATATGTGTGATTTGATGTTTTAATTCTGGAATATAGGTAATAGGACCTCCACATGCATCTTGAACCTGTTTACTTGTAATCATTATTAATCTAATGGATCTCTTTCATTCTCAACGGGGTCCCGAAAGTAGACCATGCCGTAAAATATTGTATAAAAGGTGCACGCGTATTATGCGTGCGTTATTTTGTATCTTTTTATGTAAATCCGTTGTAGAAATATCGTCACTGAAGTTAGCATGTGCTGTATGTAAAGTTATTACTTGGTAATTGATAGGTGTAATTTGATGATGCACATGAACTTATCACAGGGTCGGATCTGACCATACTGCGATATTGCAAATTTAGAACTGGTAACAAGACTTGTGATTTTGTGTTGTGTAATTTTCCTGTAATGCTGTATCTTATTTGAATAAATGGTTTTCTAAAATTTATCTTAACAGGGTCTGGATAGTAGACCATGCATTGAGATATTGTAAACTTAGTCCTTGTTTTACACTGTGTACTGTTTCCGTAATCTGTCCATCACATGTAGGTGCGTCTATGTGAGGATTGTAGATTTATTCCTTAGTATTTAAGTATATATGCAGTTAGATTATGTACATACTCACAGGGTCTTGAAAGCAAACCATGCCGTGAAATATGTAATGAG